GAGTAATAAAAGTGTTTTAAAATTAGTGGTGCTGGTTACACAAGTACGAATATACCAAAAATCATTGAACTGTATACTTTAAAAGGGTAATTTTATGGTATGTGAATTGTGTCTCAAACAAAAGCATATTAAACAACAAATAAAAATTATAAAATATTATGACCAAGCTGATTTATTTCAAGAATGTAAAATTGGAATTTGAATCAGTTTGTCTTTCAAAATTTCTGAGCAATGAAGAGCATAAGGGAACTTCCTTAATCTGAAAATGGGTAGCTACAAAAAAACCTACAACACATACCAGATTAATAGTGAAATATTTGATTGAATCTTTCCCTTTGAGATGGGGAACAAAACAAGGATGCCTTCTAGCCCCAATGTGAAATGTTACACTGGTGGTCTACCTAGTGAAAGAAAGAAAGGAAGAAAGAAAGGGAGGAAGGAAGGAAGGCAGGCAGGAAGGAAGAAAGGAAGGAAGGGAGGGAGGGAGGGAGGGAAGGAGGAAGGAAGGAATGAAGAGAGAGTTCCCTGGTGGTCCAGTGATTAGGACTCAGTGCTTTCACTGCCATGGGCCCAGGTTCAATCCCTGGTTGGGGAATTAAGATCCTGGAAATCATGTGGCGTGGAAAAAACAAAAAACAAAAAAAAAAACAAAAAAAAACAGAAAGAAAGATAGAACAAGGAAGGAAGGGATAGAGAAAGAAAAGAAAGAAGCAGGAGGAAGAGGAGGAAGAGGGAGGGAGACAGAAAGTTTGTAGTTATCTACTGTTTTTGTACAATGTCATCAAGGCTAAATTGGAGCTAGTTTTCCCAGACTTACTTTGCCTGTATGGTTCTAGGTTGGGGTTAGAGTTTGAGAAATTGGCATGAAATGCAAGGTAGAAATGAAGCAACAGCTGTTCCACTCTGAAGGTCATCCTTGGTCAGAGGTGGCAAGGGGACAAATGCACCAAACAAATGGACAGGTTCCCATTTGTTCTTGCTCTCCTTATTTCTGCATCCAGCTCTCCTTAACTGCTGGTCCTGCTTACCTACAGTGATTCCAACCCAGTCTCATATGCTTCACTGTGAGGTTACAGAAGCAGTAGTAATGAAGAGCAAAAAACTTTTATAGATTTCTAACACCAGCCCTCTTCCCAGTCCTACCCCAGCAGTCAGATGTGCTTAGCTTCCTGAAAGCCCCAACTCCAAGACAGCTGGTTAGTGATTTTTCTGATCTTTTTAGAGCAGCTCCTCATGCAACTGGATAAAGTTTAATTCCATAATAAATCTCTTATTTCATAATACCAATAGTAGTTCTGCTTCCATATTTGGACCAAAATTTATCCCAGAGTAACAGAAGAGTCTGGGATTGGTTCTTTGATATGATTGGATTTAAAGGAATTAACATTGCCCATGAAAAAGGGCACACAAGTAGTTTATGGAGTGTAGAGAAAGAAGATCACCTCAGTTAACACCCACAGACATCTACAATCAATCGAAGCAAGGTTTTGGGTGACCAAGTGGTTGCTGTCCTAGAACATTTTAAGGAAGGCAAATAAGTTGTTTGTGTACTTCTAAGTGCACCAGAGAACTTAAGAGAAAGAAAATTGTGAGTACAAAGCTTTAAATTCCTGCTCAAGGTCTGGATCTGGAAGCTTCTATATCTGCCCTAAAAGAAACACTTGTATCCTGTAGCCACAGGGCCAAGATTCCTGAAAAACAAACATACCACCTAATCCTGTGGCTGAACTGCAATGCAAATTGAATTCACAATTTCAGAGTCTCTTACACTAAAGTTTGGGCATTGATTAGAAAAAGTAAGACTCTGAAAATTGAGATGGAGATATATGGAAAAATTCTAATGAAACAGAATACCTTGATCCTGGAAATTCTGCCGAGAGAGGACCTTCAAGATGGCAGAGAAGTAAGACGTGGAGAACACCTTCCTCTGCACAAATACATCAAAAATACATCTACATGTGGAACCACTCCTACAGAACACCTACTGAATGCTGGCAGAAGACCTCAGAGTTCCCAAAAGGCAAGAAAATCCCCACACACCTGGGTAGGGCAAAAGAAAAAAGAAAAAAACAGAGACAAAACAATAGGGACGGGACCTGTACTTCTCGGAGGGAGCTGGGAAGAAGGAAAAGTTTCCACACACTAGGAAGCCCCTTCACTGGTGGAGATGGGAGGTGGGCATGGGGGAAGCTTCAGAGCCACGGAAGACAGTGCAGAAACAGGGGTGTAGAGGGCAAAGTGGAGAGATTCCCACACAGAGGATCAGTGCTGACCAGCACTCACCAGCCTGAGAGGCTTGTCTGCTCACCCGCCGGGGTGGGTGGGGTCTGGGAGCTGAGGCCAGGGCTTTGGAGGTCAGATCCCAGGGAGAGGACTGGGGTTGGCTGCGGGAACACAGCCTGAAGTAGGCCAGTGTGCTACAGCTAGCCAAGAGGGAGTACGGAAAAAAGTCTAGACCTGCCTAAGGGGCAAGAGACCATTGTTTCAGGGTACACAAGGAGGGGGATTCCTTCCCTGTCTGCCCACAGAAGGCAGAGCACTGCCTAAACGAGCTCCAGAGACAGGCGTGAGCCATGGCTATCAGCTCAGACCCCAGAGACAGGCATGAAATGCTAACACTGCTGCTGCAGCCACCAAGAACCCTGTACGCAAGCATAGGTCACTATCCACACCCCACTGGGAGCCTGTGCAACACACCACTGCCACGGTCCTGTGATCCAGAGACAACTTCCCCAGGAGAACACACAGTGCACCTCAGGCTGTTGCAACACCACGCTGGCCTCTGCCACCACAGGCTCGCTATGCATTCCAATTATAGCTATAGTACCCCTCCCTCCCCCATCCAGCCTCAGTGAGCCAGTGCCCCCTAATCGGCTTCTGCTTAAACCCTGTCTGGTCTGGGAATAGATGCCTGAGGGCAAGATACATGTAGAGGTAGGGCCAAAATCAAAGCTGAACCTCAGGAGCTGTGCAAACAAAGAAGAAACTAACAGCCTCTCCTGAGGTAGCTGTCCTGATAGGACTGCCATGGAAAATACAGAATGCTCTATTAAATTTGAATTTCAGAAAAACAAGAAAATTTCTAAGTATATCCCAAATATTGCATGGCACATATTTATACTACAGAAATATTTGTTGCTTCTCTGAATTCAGATTTAATTGGGCATCTTGCATTTTTATTTACTAAGTCTGGCAACCCAAATTGCAGGGACTGATGATTTTCTTCAGGACCTATCCCTACCACCTTGCATTGTTTCTAGTCCTCTAACCAGATTCAAGCCCTGACAGGACCAGGGAGATTTGGGGAAATAAAACTTATGACCGACCTGTGAGAAAGTATAAAATACAGCAAAAGAATTGAGATTCTGAATTCAATGTGTTAGTTTGAGTGTGGCCTAACAGAATGAAGTTGAAAAGCAGAACATTATTAGTGTACTGCAGAGGAAAACATCCTGTGGCCTAGGGACTTAGGGATGCTAGAGTGGATTTATTATGTAAGACCTGTTCATCTACTCCCTAATTATCTCCATGGTGCACATAGGTTGAAAGTGAGACCTTTTACCCAAGGCTTTGAGAAATACATTTATGCAGAAGTTTCAGCATCCTTGAAGAACTCTGTGTTGGCTATTCTCCATAGGCCAGGGATGACAGTGGGAATGGTAGCTATTAAATGGGGTTAACTGAATCCAATGGGGATGAAAGGACCTCAGGGTCACAGAGGCCAAGTGGTAGCACTTAACTGTCAGAGACAACTGAAGCAGAAATCAGAATGATTTTCCTGCAAAGATCTTTGTCATTGGCTCATTGATCATGGAATCTCTAAAACTGAAGCAGATGGATAGTGGTCTAAAGTTTTAGTTGATTTGTATTAGCAGAGAAGATCTAGGTCTAGTGAACAGAAGTCTGACTTGAATCACTACAAAAGAGAGTTGTGGTTATTTATCAACCAATTCTAAGACTTGAGAACCAGTTTAGAGACCCAGAGCAGCTTCAATAAAACAGGAGACTGGCTCTTCTTGAGGAAGAGGAAGCAACTGCTGCACAGCCAAAATGTATACTATTAAGTTTCCTCCCTACCCTTCACCAAGGAGGCTTAAAGCCACTTGCCAGGGTTGGACATAGAAAAGGTTACAGAATTATAGAGACAAAAATATGGAAATATGTCAAGGTGTATTATTTTTAATATAATGAGATCTATAGTCTTCTATAAATTGTGTATAAAGCATACTATTTTGTCATCTGATTTTCTTCACAGAAATATATATAATCATCTTTATAAATATTAAGTGCTTTTCCACAATATCTTTTTATGGCTGAATAAATTTCCAGTGTATGGATGTATTTCTTCTAATTCTGCATGGCTATCTTATGCTTCTTAGGGAATTCTCTGTAGTCATTTTTAACATGTCTTTTTGCTTCCAACAGGTTATTTCCAAACCATATTAGGGACATGCAGTGCATTTAGGTTAGTTTAACATGTTTGCCATTATAAGGTATGCTGCAATAAAAAGTTTACAATCTGTTTATTTCCTAAGTATAAATTCTAAGAAGCGGGTCAAAATATAAGCCCATTTTTGAGGCTTATATTATATTATGACTTTCAAGAGAGTGTGAACCATTGACGCATGAAAGTGTGAATTCCTCTTCAGCTTCATCAAACCTCAAAGAGTATCACTTTAAAAATCTTTACTAATTTTCTAAGCAGTATGGTTATTATACTGGGGATGGCAGAACCAACATAATTCCAAATTAATTGAAGTAAAAATAAAGTTTGAAGACTTTTATGCATTTAAGTCCCAAGGTTCAGAAAAGGCACAACCCAGGATGAAGAAGGACTTAAGAAAACAGCTGCCAGGACCCCACATGTATTTTTGAGACCATTATAGCTGTCTGCAGCCATCTGAATGACAGAATGCAAAAATCAATTAAGATTTTTATAACTCCAGGGGGAAAGTGAGAATTTATTGGTAAAGGTGATAGAAAAGAATATTTCAACTCACTCTCACAAATAGGTGGGTCATTATCCCAGGTGACAGAGTTGCCAGAGATGACGCATGCAGCAGAGGATTTACCGATGAGTCGGTATCTAGAGGCAAAGAATAATGAATGTTATATTCTAGATAAACACTTAATCCTATTTAAATTGCTGCTTACAAGAGATTACAATCTTGGAGAATTTAGAAGGACAATTTCCATTTGTCAAAGTACTATTGCTTTCCCAACTTTTGTGTCTTTATTTGAATTTTAAAATTATCTTCTTCATGCCTTCTAAATTAGATGAGATATCTCTTCTTTATTAGGTTAAGGCACATTTTTTATATACATCTAAGATAAATAAGATTCATCAAACTATAACCAAAGGAAATCCAAGCAAGACAAAAACAGTTGAACACTTATTTCATATTATAAATGTTAAAGGAAGAAATTCTCAATTAGTATACCACAAGCTGTTCAAAGTTTGCCATACAATTTGGAAAAACTGATGACATTTATTTTTACTTCAACTGAAATTTTCTATAGTCATGGTGTGTTGCGCTGAACCACTCATGAAAATTGGTGGGGAGTAAGGCCGAACTTGATACTACTACAGGTTAATACGAATAGTGTCAAACAAGTCAAGTGTTATTTGGTATAGCTGAGAACACTGCCTTATGAATATATAAGAAACTATGGCAGCACAAACTTTATTCAAACATCAAAATGGGTCAAATGGAGATCAAATGAAAAGAGCTGTGGATGTTCTTGAAGAAACCTGAAGCACTGTTATATTGAAGCAGTGGTTATGTTGTAGTTATTAATGCCTTCAGTAGTGTTTTCAGGTTTTTAATGCCTTCCAGTACACCATCAAAAATGAAGATATTCTAAATTGCACTGCAAACACATACACACAAATAGACAACAAATAGAGTAAAGGAAAGTTGCAGTCTTTCCACTATGTGTGCACCTCTTCCTTCCTGTTTGCCATAGGAGCGGAGAATCATGGAGACTCCTCTGGTTTTCAACTTCATAAAGATTATTTCTTAAAGTGCTCTTTTTGATTTTCTAATCAAGAGGATTGGGATAAAAATGGTGAAGCAAGTTCTAACTTGAGTCGGCAATTCTTCTAAAACGTTTTGTTTTGTTTTATTTTTTTGCATGTGCCACATGATAGAAGAATGATTTATTAGAACAAATTCCATAATAAATCATATAAAATAACCATTTTCTGAAAGACATCCATAAGACCACTTGAGGACAAATGCACAGAGGTGCCTCCAAGAAGCCAGACAAATAAGTTACCAATCCCATGTCTGGTGTGAGTGGAGGAGCCCTCCTGCTGCTATCTTGAAGTCTAGGTCTCACCAACCAGGCTCTGCTGATGCTGCCATTGCAGGCAGAATAAGGCTCACATGCGGGGGCATGAGATATGTCAGCACCCCCAGGTTCCGCTATTGACAGCTGCTGGTGGACTGGGACCTGCTGCTTCCCATGGGTGTGTGACATGGGAAGGATAGACTTCCCCCATCCCCAATTTCTCCTTATGCTGCTAATTTAGGCAGATTGGGCCACCACTATCACTAAGTATGGGTCCCCTTACTACATCCCTGCTGAGCTTTCCCTTCCCCAGTCCTTTAACAGGGGAGTAGGCTTCTCTCTCTCTCTGTTTGTTGACTGTTCTGGCTTACAGTCTTCTATAGCACCCATCCTGAGAGAGAAAAAGAAAATGCAGGAAACTCACTGCAGGGTCATTCTTTAAGTTCTGGGGTCCCTAGCCAGTCCACTTTCTTTCTACCTTTTGTGGTCCTTTTATGGTTGTATGTTGAACAATTTCTAGGGTATTTAGTTATGTGTAGAGGGAGAAGCAGGGAAAAGTGAATCTGGAAGTTCAGTAACAGCTCTTTAAAACCCAATTACAAAAGTTAATACTCATTGTAGAAAAAATGTCATTGTAGAAAAAATGTCATTGTAGAAAAAATGTGAAAGATACAGAAAATTCCAGTAATGGAAAAAAAATACCTAAACTGTATCTTACAACACAGTTAATGGTTTAGAGAAGTGCTTCTCCAAAGTTTTATTTGCATAGAAATCACCAGGGGATCTTGTGAAAATATGATTCTGATTCAGTGGGTATGAAAATTCTGCATTTCTAACAAGCTCCCAGGAGATGCTGACCTTGCTGGTCTGTGCACCATACTCTGGGTCAAGAACTTACAGAAAATTCTTTCGGTTTCTTACATGAAGAGATATACATGTAACATGGATGTCAGCTGTCAGGTAGGTGTGGTTAAACTGGGCCAGGACCTATATTTCACAGCTGTGTGAGAGTCCTCTTCCAAACACATGATTACTGTGTGTCTTAGGGCTAATTTTGCCGTACTTCTCTCTGCTTCCACTTTCCTGTGTCCCTCTCTGCTGGCTTTGGGTTCTGCACTACATTTTATCCAGAAGCCATGCCCAGGATTTTTGTGGGTTTCTCCCACAAATCCACTTGCTCAAAGCATTTGTTGTTGCATTTGGGGGAAGTTTTAGGGAGTGTTACACTGGGAAGTGAATGCCATTAGGCATTTTATTCCAACCCTCACTTGTCTTTCTTCTCCTTCTTCTCTGGAAAAACAAGCAACTTCCTCTCCTTTCCTTGCACAGAACAGTCCCTTTGGGGTCTCACCTTCTTTAAATATAACGTCTATCCTAAAATTGTTTTCATTATATACAATATTGTTGGGTAGGACACCTACATTTGCTTTTCAGATTTCCTTTTGGGGCCTTATTGAGATCGACAGTCCTGGGTTCTCTGTTTACCCCTAGCTACGCATCATGAGTTCTCAGACTGGTGAGTTTGGGAGAAGGAATAGGGCAATTCATCTCAAACTTCTGCATCTTGTGCCTCATTCCCCCTCTTCATGCCTGCAGAGAGGATGTATTCTAGTTTATTCTCTGCCATGTGCTAAGGGGCCTCTCCTACCCCTGTGGTAAGTGATGGTGGGGATGGGATGGATGCGGGAAGCTTACCGTTGTCCAGCTGTGTCTGAGAACAGGTAATTACATTTAATTATGGGATTTTAAAAATTAGGTCATTTAGCCCTGACCTAAAGTTATATTCTCTACTAATCTCTTTCGGCAATAAAGATATAATTTGACCTTCATCTGTCTGATTCCTCAGCTGGTCCAGAAATTTGGTGGTGAAGATATATGTATTGTTTATTGGAATCCCTCAAACCCCAGCAAATATAATCAATCCCCAATATTTTTATTGGCAGAATAATATTCCATCACATGAATGGACCATAATTTACTCAAATAATCCCCTGTTGTTGAACATTAAGATGTTTTCCATTCCAACCTTTCCAAGCCTTTAGAGTCTAAAAGACTTCAAAAAGGAAGACTGTTAAGTTTGACTTCTTGGCAAAAGTGTATTGCCTAAATTGTGTTAAATGGTATAAATTTGTATCAATTTATAGTGCTACTAGGAGTTTATGTCAATGCCCATTACCCTGAACTTCAAAACTAACAGCTACACAGAGGGATTTTTGTGTATTTTGTTTATTGCTATATCTCCAGCTTCCAGAATAGTACCTATTCTTAGTATTTGTGAGCTCTGAATAAATACTTTTGGATTAAATAAGTGGTTAAAGTAGCATATTATTGTTATTTTCATTTGTATTAATTTTATTAATAGCAAGGCCAGACTCTTCCACATGTATTTACAATTTGTACCTTTTTCTTTTGTTAATTGCCACTTTGTATCTTTTAATCATTTCTCTATTTAGGTGTTCATATTTTGTTTGTAAGGGCTTTTTATATATTTTTGTGGTTTTTCATTTGTATTTTATTTGTTTTTAGTATTTGTATATGTGTCAATTCTATTAACCTCTCTGTGGATTCTGCCTTTGCTTGAAATGAACCCACTGACTTGAAATGTTCCTAAATCTGATACATATTTATTATTTTTTATTTCATTTTATTTAGGTGTCACATATAACATGTAATTCTTTGATCAATATGAAATTTTTTGTGGTGCATAAAATGTGCTAATTACTTAACATAAATAAAAAATACTAGTTTGCTTACTGCTTTGAAATGCTGCATGATACCTTCATATAATTCCCTCTTTTACAAATTTGGGTCTATTTCTGGACTGCCCATTCTACTCTTGAGCTCTGTATTTTATAATATACCATGATAATATACTTAAAATTACTTTAACTTAATAATATGCTTTGAAGTAAAGATGTTGAAGATTTGAATAATATAAACTGAAGCCCTTTTAGTAGATTGGTTTTCAACTTTGTACTCTACGGTGAGAGAATGTACTTTTAAATTCTATAGGTTATTCAAGAAAAGTAATAGATATACTAGGTAGAAAATCTTCATGTAGAAAAACAACAAATTTGCTTTACATCCTGATTACAATGAACATGATCTCATTTTTATAAAACACATTTCTAAAAGGAAAAAACAAAAATACCCCAATTGTGCCCCCAACTTATATGAAGAAAGTGTAACATTTTCTTCCCTCTATTTTGCTACATGGATTAATTTGTTTACTTTTGTTCAGTTGGAAATTATTTTTTACCCTACCAGGGTAACATCCATTAAAAATACACATGAATTTGTTTTCTCCATTTTTTGAGGTCAAGAATGAGACACTGACTATAAGTCTAGCACTTTAAAATTTTCTTAATTTCAAGATTTCTTGTTATACTCTGTGATTTTAGATATAATTATGTTCTTAAATCCCTCTCTAAAAATAATCTTCCTTTACATCAATGAAACACCCATGTTAAAAATAAATCATCTGATAACTTGTATCCTGAAATCTTGATGAACTATTTATTAGCTATAATATGTTTGTGTGTGTGTGTGTGCATTCCTTAGTATTTTCTATACCAGATATGTCATTTGCAAACAGAGGGGTTGTTTCCCTTTTCTTTTTTTGATTGAACTACAGTTGGCATACAATATTGTATTAATTTCAGATGTACAACATGGTGATTTGACATATTATATATATACATATACATGTGTGTGTGTGTATATATATATATATATATATATATATATATTGAATTGATCACCACAATAAGCCTAGTAACCATTTGTCATGAT